TCCAGTTTCAACTCCCTATTATGGGCAGGGTTACTAACCAGTAGACCAGGCTGAAGGATCATTGAGTCCTGGCTCCACAGCAGAGTATGCTGCTGTTTTTCTATTCTTTCCTTAGATATCAGTGCAAAGACACGTAGACTGTCTCAGAATGGAACGGTCTACCTAGTTTCACTGCACCTGCAGTGGTAGGCAAGACAGAAGTTTTTCATGTGTTGCCTTACCCATCTGCAGATACAGACTGATGTATTGCTTCCCAGCTTATTTAATAGGACAGTGTGTTTACCATTTAGTTTGTTATCTCTCGTGTCCCAACACAGTAAAAGGCAGGGGCATTGAAATTAGATGGTGTTGGAGGTCCCTTCCAACCCAAGCCACTCTGCAGTCCTGCGATTCTATCAAATACTTCCCTGATGAATGAGATTCTCAGTCTGTCAAAAAGAAAGAAAATCATTGTAACCTGTTCCATAAAATAGGTACCACATTTTTAAGATGTGAAGTATTCCGGAATAACAGTTATTACGGCTTTGTACTTTTTCCACCACACCCAGAAATAGTCAGGAGTGAAAGCACTCTCCCGTTACTTTTTGTATAGATTTCTACTTTCAGCCATAAAAGGCTCTTTTTGCAGATTGCACTGCTTATTAACGGATCCACGGGGGCTGGGGCAGATGGAAGAGGTCAGGCCGTGTTAACACGTTCACTGCTTCATTCCTTGGGCCTCGGCAGCTCAGCCCAGCAATGCGCATCTCTCCGCAAGGAGGGACTGCATCTGGCACCAGAACTGCCCCACTCCCCCAGCCGTTGTTCTCTGCAGGCAAAATACAGGTCATGCCATTGCCGAATACAGCTAAAATTCATGAGATAACAGTGTTGCTGCAATTTGCTATTCCTCCCAGTCTTTATAGTGTTTTAATGGATTTATTCTCCGCGACGGACGACTCTCCAGACAGGGTGGCACTGGAAGATGATGAGCTGTCAGCGCTGAGCTCCTTCCCTCGGCAGCTGGGCACACGTTAGGTATCTCCACGCCGATGGGCTCGCCATCAAACATCTCCTCCTGCCTGCCAAGGAGCAGCGCGGCACCAACGTGACGAGATGTACACAGTGCAGCTCTTTGGATGTGGTTTGCATGTGAGCACTCCGCCGTGGTGCCTCCGCCGGCCCACAGCGCGCTTTCAACTCCTCGTCGTTGGAAGCGGTGCCAAGCGCTGGCTGCGCTCTGCACATTTCTCTCGCGCTGCCTTCTCTCGCTCCTTAAATTATTATCTCTCTCTCCCAGCGGAATAAAGATTCCCGAATTTTTCTTTCACCTGTTCTATTGACATTGTGCCAGACAGAAATGCTGCTGCCTGAATGGTAATGACCAGAAAGCGTTCAAAGAGAGGGGAGCGAGGAACAGGTGGGGAAGGAATTCAATCGCTCATCAACTCCATAACCTTGTTTCTGACACCACGAGCGTGTGCTGCAGTTGGTTTTGGCTTTAAGGGGGAGAGAAGCACCGCAAGCCAGCTTCAGACCTCTGATTCTAACATCTCTTATAAATGGAAATAATTAGACAATAACCACGCTAATGATCAAAGAACATATGTTCATGCTCATTTCATATAAGGTGAGGAATTACTCCCTTTTCCGGCTTGCCCTGAAGATTTTTTGGACTAGATGATCTTATAGGTTGTTTCCAACCTTGTGATTCTATGATTCTTTTTGCTCAGTGTCAGAACGTCTGTAGGAAAAACATTACTTGAAGAGGTGGATTCAACTTGGAAGCACTGAACAGCAGCCTTGGTACGCCAAGGCTGGCTATGGAAAGCTCCTTGCAAGCACATTTGTTGTATGCATAGACATTAAGATGAAGTATCTCTCCGTAATATCTATTCAGTAGAAAACAATGGTGAAAATAATCAGAATTGAGCCTGGAATTGGGATAGGGTGGAGAAAACCACATATCCCAACACTCCCCCACTGTTACAGGATTGAAATACCCATCTGCTATTAAAAGCTTGTGCACTGGGCTGCCCAACACCAGCTCTGGAAGATTGAAATATCAGTTACAGATCAATTTTCTCCTCAAATAAACACTAATGCAGGATAAACAGTATTAGAAGATGCAATCGTAACATTGCTGACTGCGGGCTGGACTTCCCGCTGCTCGCAGCAAGTTTAAGCCTAGAGATTAATTAACCTGAGAAGCTATCACTTAGGGAAGATTTAAGGCTCTTGCATCAGGAATATGAGCAGAGGAGAAGCCGTGCGTGCAGGAGGGCAGCGGAGACTGAAGGAGGTGAACACGCTTTGATTTTCCCATGGTTCCCTTTTGTTCTGCTCAGCGGCAGCTCTGGCTTTAGGGATCAGGTGTGTGAGTTGGGGTGAGCCGCCCTCCATGGCCAGCATCATGCTCACAGGTCTTCTCCCAGTTCTGGACCTCAGTTTTGCTGGCAGTGCCCCATTTTGGTGTGGACTTATATCTTCCCCAGGTTGCCACCTGGCACTCGCCTGTGTTCTGCTCAGTCCTTTCCTTCTCTGTCTTATGAACTGCGTTGCTGCTGTTCACAGAGTGCTGTGCATTGGGAAGCAGGTGCTTCATAAAGAACCAATGGCTGTGCAACTCTGCTTAAGGAATGAAGTGCCACAGGGGTTACACACTGGTTCTGAACATCCAAGTGTCACTAAAAGACAACACCCTGTATCAGGGCTGGAAATCTGAACTCGCACCAGAGCTGAATTTCCAGCTCCTTTTTCTTCCCATGGGATTTACAGCAAGCTCCGCTTGCTCTGAACGTGTGATCTGCAAAGAATCATAAAGGTTGGAAAGGACCTCTAAGATCATCCAGTCCAACTGTTCACCTACCACCAATACTGCCCGCTGACCACATCCCTTGGTGCCACGTCTCCACATTTCTTGAATGCTTCCAGGGATGGTGACCCCACCACCATCCTGGGCAGCTCCATTCCAGTGCCCAACCACTCCTTGGGAGATGAAGTTTTTCCTCATATCCAACCTGTCCCTCCCGTAAGGTCTCCCCAAGACCCATCTCAGCACCACATCATGGAGTGCTCCTCTAGGCTTTCAGGAATAAAACTTGAATTTTGAGAACAGCTAGAAATCTCCCAAGGCAACAAAACCTTTCGTGTTTGCATTGGCTGTCCCAAAAGACGCTGCCATGTCCCTCCCACCACTGAAATGCTCTGCACTGCCAGCAGGCACTGCACTGCTGAGCACAGGTGTGTGCACAATGTGCCAAGTGCTTCCCACCAGGGACCGTCCTCCCCCACCCAGGAGCCGAACAAAGCAAGGCAACCTTATTACAGTGCTCAGCAACCAGCACGTTATGCTGAAACTCTAATTAAATACTCGAGATAGCCATCTTTCTTTAAAAACAAAACAAAGCTAAACAAAGCAATGCAGCAAACCAACCAATGATCTTTTAAATGTCAGATATCAGCTTCATACAGCAACTGGAAGTGCTCAGTCCAGGCACTTCCAGCAGCTTTTTCCTCCTTCTCATTTGGCCCTTTAGGAAGTACTGCTCAAACTGCTACAATGGACCGACACGTGCCAATGTTCCCTTGCAGAATTGGGTGAGTTTGTGACAAAATGGTGCTGGGAGAAGGCAAAGCACTGCTCTGACCTATGGCTCTCCAACTGCTGGTCCCCTCCCAGAGGGGAGCTGAGCTGCAGCACTGCTCTTGTGGATTCAGCAGCCTGGGGAAATGCATCAGAGATTTCCCAACGGAGCCAACCTCTTTTGGAGAGCAAGGCTCCCTTCTCAGACTTGCAGGAGATACTGGAAGGCAGCATCAGCAAAGGCATGGAGGTGCCCCAAATCCTAAAACAGGTGATACAGAATCATAGAATCCCAACCAGGAAGGGACACATAAGGACCAGAGTCCTGGCTCTGTGCAAGACCACCCAAAAATCAGACCTAATTTACCAGCACCAACCTTCCCTTCCCATGCAATGCAGAGCTCTGTCTGCTACCTGCTGAGCAGCAAAGAGTGCAGGATGAGAGGCAAAGGTAGTTTTGTAACATTAATTTTTTTTTTATTAAGAAGACAGATATTTTATAGTACTTTTTTTTCTTTGTAAAAATGGTATACATGAACCGATACAAAATGTGAATGGGAACAGATGGATATGTATTTTTCTTACATTGTAACATCTTCCATGGACACCTTAAAACAGAACTGGCCTAAGGGGAAAAAATAAAAAGGCTGGGTGAATAAAGAACAAGGCTGTTTAGCATCAGTCGCGCTTCCTTCATTTGTAATTCTCCTTTAAACGTGTTTGTTCTTTCTTCACACTTAAAAATCCTAATGACCTAAAGCTGTACAAAGTAATACTCAACAATACATTTCAAACAGTGCACTGTATACTGAAGAAAAAATACATAAACCAATATACAACTAAAATTCGTAATTTCCTGTTTTTTTTTTTTTTTTTTTTTTTTTAATTATTATTATTATCATTCTGTTTTTTTCTTTTTCCAATGTGTGGGGCCGAAATTTTTGCAATCTACCTGAGACGGAAAACACCAATCAAAACACATGAACCTGAGACATGTCAACATTTTAAGTCAAAGTTACATCGGTAACACTGCACTACTGTACACTTCCAAAACAAAGATGGGCTGTCCAAAAACAGGATGCCAATTCTGTGACCGACGAGTAAAAAAGCTCCCCCACCCCCCCCGAACTCTACATGCTGAATGCTTCTCACCATGGTGTGGTTTGGCAATGGTGCTGAAGGCTCAGAAAAGAGCTGCGCTCGACGAAATTTGCTCAGGAGGGAAAAAAAAAAAAGCTATTCCTGTGAGTTTCTTCTTCTTGTATTAAGGGAAAAGACCGACTGCTACGGAACGGACTTGTTTGTTTTCATGCCATCCCATTCCCAACAGATCCTGCATTACAATGGTTCTGCCAAAAACAATTAAAAACAAACAAACAGAAAAAAAAAACAACAACAAACCACACGGAAAGATGACCCCCCCCCCCCCCAGCCCCCTAAAAAAAATCCACCTGACGCTAAGATTAATGTTACCCTTAAATAAATCAGCATACACGTTCCACATAAACACAGTAAAAAAAAAAAAGTACCTCTCTACATCCAAGGTAATTCACCAAATTCAGGTAGGATTCCCATAGCGCCTTCTTGTTGCGATTTGCTATCTGTCACCGATCTATAATCTACCTAAATTCTCCTTTTTACCTATGGCTTTAATAAGTCAGTTAGCACTGTAATTTTTTAACGCAAATTCCCACTTTTTATCCATCAGATCAAAACAAAACAAAATAAAAGGCAGTTGCACCTGTCCAGCCGCCCCAGGGCTCGGACCTGACACGGTGTGGGACGCAGCGATGGCTTTGGGGTTGGAGACACATGGGCCATCCCAGTGGGATGAGCACCCAACCCCACACCCACCCTGATGCCTTCCAAGCACCACACCAACGGAGGGGGACAGAACCACAGAGCTGCACACTCGCAGCCTTTGGCAATCTGGGAGGGCTTTTCCTGTGCTAGCAGATCGGGGAGAAGCCAGGACAGAGAGCAGTTTGCAACATTATCCGAGCAGAAATCCTGCCCTAAACCCTTTGTGGGGCAGATCCTGCACTCCAGAGCCGCCGGGGGCTGCAGGACACCTGGCTGGGAGCAGAGCCTGGGTGCGGATGGATGCACCGCGGACGGGCAGCACCTTTTCTGAGTTGCGGGCTATTTTCTAGTCTCCATCAATCTAAAGCATTTGGAACATGGGCAGCCACAAACAGGTTCTCGTTTGTTTGTTTATCCAAGCCTTTACGACAACAGAGAAAATGGAATATGGGTACAGCGAATTGCAAACTATGAAATCTAAAATGTGCTGGTTCTCCTCCGATGAAACCGAGTTTTGAACAGAAAACAGTGAAGATAAAAAGAAGGAAAAAACACCTTGAAAGAAACCAACCTATTCCAAGGGGTCCCAGCAGGCAACTCCAGAAACAGAGGACAAAAGGGGAAACAAAGAACCACAGAAACCTGAAGGGAACTAACGCACAGAAGCCCCTCTTCTTCCCAGCCTCCTCCCAAACCCAAACAAACAGAAATAAAACAAGGCACAGAATCTTCTGCAAATGACTTCACTAAACTAAACCCAAGCCAGACTTGGCCAAAAAAACAAAACCCAAACGAACTGAGGTGTCGAACAGCAGAGTGTACTTTACGAAGAATATTTTTACACAGCAAATCCCAGACCCTCCCAGTCTCACAGCTCTCCACCCATTTGCGTTTCTCTTTAAAAAAGACACAAGCTGGTTGCAACTTCCAATATCACTGTCTCTTTATCGTTTAAATAGGGCCAGTAACCGTCCACGGTTGGACACCTCATTAAAACCAAGGCTGTTCTAGATGAAGTACTCTTTCTTTTCTTCGGAGTTGTTTTGTCCTCCTTCTGCATTGATGATAGCTGTGTCTGCGTCGGCTGCATCGTCCGCTCCTTTGGCTTCATGAGTGAAATATGTACCTGCAAAGGAAGTGGTATGCTGTGTGACACGGCAAGAGCCAGCAACAAAGCCACGAGCAGGATGGGCAATCGACACCACCAGAAAGAAAGAGCCCGAGAGTAAGTCCCAGAGCACCACAAACCCCAGCACATGGAGCAGAGGTTTCCACAGTCCCGCCTGAGACAGCCCACCGCGCAACTCCTGTTCGCTTCCAACACTCAGAAGCTTTTCCAAATGCTCTCAGTGAAGCTGGTAAACATAAACCCCTCGGTGCAATCACAGGGGCTGGAGTGGTCACAGCACTGCATGTGGGCTCGGCCTCACAGACCCATCATGTTACAAAAAATCCACCTGGCACATACGCACCACCCCAGGTCAATGAGGTTTTGTAGCCAGACCTCCAAATTTCAGCTCTAACTTGTGTACCGAGCACACTCAGCACAGCACACTGGTTGCCTGCCACAGCTTTCCTCGTGTAAAAGAGAAGAGATGCTCTTCTAAAGCACCCAGAGGGCCAAAACACCACGCGGGAGCTGAAGCACGTGCCAAGTCCGTTCATTTTCCAGTTGCAGTCTTTGTCTTACCTTTATGTCTCGCAAAATATCGCCCTAAAATGATGAGCAGGCAAAGCATGGCAAATACAACCACGGCCACGACACCACCGACGACTGCATGGTCCACGCTCCTTATTGCCCCTTCCTCACCTGCACGAGAATCTGTTGAGATTAGAAGAGCAGTAAGAATTGGGGACTTACTACGAGACAACGTGAAGGTTTTGGTTGCAGCCGCCCTCCGGTTTGGAAAAGCCACCCTTCTGCTTTCCAAAGGAGAAGGGATAAAGCGTGGAGCTATCCAGACAGATGAGTTCAGGGTGAACTGATCTGGCCGATACCTCGCCAGGTGCCTCCCGCTACAAGCAGCAGCACTACCACTACTGGTGGACAGCTGGGACAGGGAAAGGAAGAGAAGAGATGTGGAATCATCGGTGGGCACGAGTTTTTGGAGGTTCCCCTAGCATACTCCCCAAACTCCAGTCTTCCTTACGGGCAGAGGGCACAGCAAGTAGCGGTACAATGTGGCAATGTGAATCGTTAGCTCTGGAGAGACATCATTAACAAGTGCCCCGGTGAAAACACTTTAACATCAGCCCAAAAAGAAACAATCAACCGAGCTCTGTAAATGCATCTACAGCCATCATCTCCCCCAATAAGAACTCAAAATTACATAATTAAGCATGACCTTTTCTGTTCATTACAGCTCACGACGTCCGGAGACACAAAACTCTTAATCCCGACTATAAAAACCTCTTCAAAAGCAGATAGTGAGCAATAATTGTGCATCGCCTCCAACTGCTTTATTTTATTTATTTAACTCCTCACCATGCAATTAGTTTTCTTTTATAAGCATCTCTCCCTTAGGATGCCATCACCGGGAGAGGAATGACTTATTTGGCTGAGGAACAACTCCAAAATGAACCCGGAATGAGCTATGGCCATGTAAAATGAATGTATAGCAGTGTAAACAATTTTAATTTAAGAACGCAGCTACATCAACCCTCGCTGCAATTCTAATGGCAACTGAGATTTATAACGTAGTAAAAAACAATTATTCTCCCGTTGATTAATACATTAACATTTTGGAATAGAAGCTAAACCATTGTCTCTCTTTTTTTTTTTTTTTATTGAGTCAAGCACGACACCTCCATTAAAATGATTTACTGGCCATACCTTACAATTTAAGCACAGCAGCAACAGAAACGGTAAAAATCTTTTAACTTTACATGATTTGTGAAGTCATATGTGAAGGATTTACCATTTAGATCTTTCACTACAAGAAGCACATGGCCTATAAATCTGCCCTGCGTGCAGCTGCCCAGGCACCTAAGAGAAATGCATTTTACCAGGAAGACTGAGAGTGCAAATTCAAGTCAATTTTTAAGAAAGATTTATCCCGGTCTCTCTCCAAAGAACAGAGCAAATCTCTGAAGCCTCCACCTCTAATAATATTTGAAGTTTATCGATCAAGCGTACAGATCCGTGACAGCTAAAGGTAATGGTGCTCTTTTGAGCTGAAACCTGATACAATGCTCTCAAGCAGGAGCCCAGGATTTACGCTCTCTATCGATATTTCCAATTCTGTTCTAAGATGAAGCACTAAGGGATGCAAGTAAATAACTCGTGACTGGGAGCGCTGTATAGCACGCTTTAATTAAAACAATTTAAGAAAAAACCTTGGAGTATTTCTTCAACTTTTCGAAGCAGCAGCTTTGGCACACGCAATGGTTTGATGCTGCCAGGCTCTGGTGCACGTTGGGGGATAAAACAAAGAACAGCCCACGAGCATCACGAAGGGAGAACCCCCTTCCAGGAACTCGCCTAATGAGCTCAACTCAACGGGACAAAGAAGACACTGCTGTAAACCATACGGCTTTTGTTTCCACACAACCCAAAGCCGGGTCACTTAGCAGTGGGAGGAGCAAGCCAGGATGCATCTTAAAGCCTGGTGTTCAGCAAAGAGAACACGTACCACGGGCCAGTTATTGCACAGGAATTCACTATCAGAATAAAAATGAGACCCAGAGAACCCAAACGCAAAAATTCTCCCTTACACTGTAATGCCAAAGTGCACTCAAAGGATAAAACTTAATTGTGAAGCCACCCAGAACACACTTCATTGGTGGAAAAGCCCTATGCACAGCTCTGTGAGAATTAACACATCTTGAACTGTCAGCAGCTCCACGTCCAAGGGGAAGTGCTGCCTTTGAGGTCAATGCTTCCCAGCTTTCTGGTGAAGACAAATAACAATAAGCATTTAGGGACGTGGTGAACGTCCTGGAGCCCCGACTGAAGGATTTCTACTTGCTGTGGCAAGCTGCCAGAACAAACCGCCTCTAAAAAAGGACATTTTTTCTTCCTTTTTCTTTTTTCTTTTTTTTTTTTTTTTAAATCATCCTCAGTAGGAACAAACTGTGTCGTAAGCACTTCCCAGCATTTGCTGCTTTGGCAAGAAGCAGGATATCCCTGCTCGCTGATGGGAATGATGCCCGGGGTGCTGCAGCACCATGCCAAGCAGACCACCCTGCTGGGGCAGGGATGCTGCTGCAACAGCGACCAGGTAAAACCAAAGCCTGGGGTGTGCTGGGGCCACTGCAGCTTCAGACAAGAATCACTGTGTCAGGTACATGGCTAAATACCTACTTCATCAAGGTTAGCTCTGAAGGATGTACCCAACCCCACAGTGGCTGCAAACCATGCAGTACCCAACCGTGCAGCTGCTGATGGTGCACTTCTGACTTTAAAGATATAATTATATTTACATATTAATTACCCAAGGAATGGCTCTTGGTGTCTAATTGTGAATGTGCTGGACAAAACAGGCAGGAGCTCTGTTTAAAAATAAATGCACCGCATTTAGAAGCACTACAACCCCTGCACTTACTGGAATTAACTCCTCTTCCTGTCCTTCCTACGTTGCATCGATTTGCTCTCTGAAGGAACCACTTGCAAATTAAAATAGCACAAAAATCAGATTTGTCAAAGCGGAAGCCCTCTCGCCAAATTGTGTCTCCTTTTTAAACAGGAAAGAAGGCACAAGGCAGTAGAAAGTCATCAGTCTGCATCTTCTAGGGCTCACAGGGGTTCCCACTGCCTTTACTTTGAGGTGCTGCCCAGCAGAAATAATCCCAGGTTGCAGATTATTTCGTACTGAATGAGCATCAGTAATGGATGCCACTCATTATTTCCTCGGTAACAAAGTGTTGAGACTTCAGAGTGGGGAATCATTCCCCAAATTTGTGCCAAGAAAGACAAACCTGACCTTAAAAACCAGAATCTGCTTTAAAATGCTGTCTCCGATTCACAAAAGCTATTCCCGCTTCATATCTATGATTAAAAAAAGAAATCACAACTTTATTACTGAAGAGGGAACAGACGAGATGGCAGGAACTGACAAAATGCCACATTATTTGCTAATCCTAATATGTTATTCTTCCTTAAGATTTGCTTTTCTCAGCACCAATTCAATTATAGATGCTACAAATCCTTCTGACATTTAATTCCCTCTTGTCAGAGAGTAGTAAATGTATACATGCAGAGCTTTCCCATTAAGATGTTAATATATATTGGAGCACGCTGGCCTTTAAATCCAATAGTCAGAATGTTTCTACGATGGCTTTGTTTTCTGTTTTGCTTCTGTTTTCTTAAGGTGGAAGGGGGGAGGGATGCAGGGAGGGATGGAAGGAGTCAGCACAGAGACACTGCTGCATGTTGGGGACAACATGCACAACTATTCTGCTACTCCACAGCTACGTTGCACCTCAGCTGGACCCCGTTTCAGAGGGTGGTGCTTTGATGTGATCCAAACAGGGCGGATTATATCAAAGCACCTTAAAGGAAAACTGCAGTGATAACGGCACCGTCTGCTTACGGTAAGTCAATATATGCAGGGAAAAAAATCAATTTTTTTTGTTTTAAACTACTGCGTTGAGAAGAGGACGACTGTGCCCTGCCATATTTTTACCTGATGTAGCAGCGAACTTCTCAGCATGAGATGCAGCACAATATACAGCAGCAGAGAGCACTGCAGTCCCATTTAAAATTGCGGCCGATAAACTTTGGGAGCTTTTAAACGAGGTTTTGTTCATTATTTTAACCAAGCGCCACTTTAATTGACAACAATAAATGACAGCGCTCCCAACGAGAGTCCTGAAGTTTTCCTTTAAACAGAAAGTGTGATTTGTTCAGACACTACACAGAGAAAGACATCTTGTGACTGGTTCCTACTCCACTCCACACTAACTCCCTTAGCATTAAATACACAGAGTCCTAAGCAAGCATCCAGCACTTGGCAGCACACCCATGGTGCTCTGCTCGCTTTTCTCCTGGCTTGAGGACAAACCCATGCAGGTGGCAAAACTGACACTCGTCAGCCCCAGTATCTGAGCATGGAAAGTGACTCAGGTAACAAGGAACCCATAGGAGACACTGATGTTGATTATGTCTCATATGAATATTCTCAGCTGAGATCCCTATTTTAAGCCAGACAAATCTTCGTTATGTGACTTACGGTTGGTAGGATTTTTTATTATTATTATTTTTTAAGTAAGTGTTAATAATAATCTCAAATTCTCTTAGCATTTTTGCAGTAGTAATTGCTTAAAAATAGATCACTTACTGCAGCCTCGGGAGCATGGGAAAAAAAAAAGCTGGCAGATTTTAATAGTAATATCCTCATAATGTGGGTCAAGCTCTTACAGCAAGGTTTAGCTTACGGAAAGCTTTTCTCCTCCCAGCTACTCAATGAATAGGCTCCAATCAATTCTGGTTTTAATGAGGCTTTGAGATATGCATATTTATATATACACACATATACGCATATATGTATGTATACGCCAGCTCTTCTTTTTAAGTGATAGCATCTCAAGATTAAAAGAAAGGACCAAATTGGACCTGACTGACTTTACTAGCTGGTTTTTAATTACATATCAATCACATCTGAGTTAAAAGCTTCAGAGCTATTAGGAACAAATCATTTTATTTAGCTGAAAAACTCCAGAGCAACTTCACGCCAGTCCTCACTTTCTGGTACTGCTTTTACCTTGAGCAGCATGGCTCACTGTTTTACCCCACATTGCTCCAGCACTGCTTCTGATTAAGGCTCCATTCTTTAAATACCAGAGACATGAAATAACCAAAGCTTTAGGAGATATTACCCGTCATGGAATCACAAAGGCTGGAAAAGACTTGTAAGGTCATCCGGTCCAACCATCCACCTACCGCCACTATTGCCACACGTCCCCCAGTACTGCACCTAGCCCTTCCTTAAACACCTCTGGGGACAGTGACTCCACCACTTCCTCAGCCAATTCTGGCTGAGTTCTGATCTACAGCTCCACTTTGTGACATCTGAACAGCTCTGAACTTTTTTTCTGCAGCCATTTGTGCTATTAAAGCAGAAAACGGATGGAGTTCTTTTCACAAGCACGTAGCACAGATAGGAATTCTGGCATATTTTGACTTATTCCTGCACTCACACAAAAATTTCTCTTTTATTTCTTGGTGAAAATTAATTTCAAGCTGTGGACACTGGAGATCATGGGTTTAATTTGTGTGCACACACGTATACGTAAACACAGCGGCTCCACTGACAGCTACCCTGCTTCCGAGATGCAATAAATGCATTGTGATGGGGAAAACCTAAATCCACTTCTTTCAAGAGTTCCCAACTCATCAACCTTTTTTTCCTCTTCTTAAAGTTTTGCCTGTTATGCAGTTAAAACACCAAAATGATGCAAATCTCCACACTTCCCTCATGGTCATGAGTTAGGTGCAATGACTTTACCTTGCTGGATGAGCCAACTATTCCCCTTTCCTAAGAGGTCAGAAACCAGGTTGGTGCTGACATTTTCCCACTGGCTGCTCTTTTGACAAATTGCTGGTGAATCCTTTTGGAGAACCACGTTTTTGACATCAAGGAACATCACTAAAACGTGGGGCAGCCGTTGGGGTGTCGGTGGGCAGAGCAGGGAGAACAGGGTGTCTTCAGTTCAGAACCACTGGAAAATAATCATCAGTGCTCATCTACCAGCTGGGAGATAGTAATCACTGCCTGCACAGCAGGATGAGCAATAATATTATTCATTGCTATAGTCCAGCATTAAGTGTGCTGCTCCTACCCCTACTCTAATTTATTGATGGACTGTTAAAGAGTAGTGTCAACCTGTTCGTCGTATCGTAATTGAATTTGGTCTAATTTAAGCTGGAGAAATTCAAGGAGTTCATCCTTCTTCAATCAATAAGCTTCTCTTCAGTGACCCATTTTAAGCTCGCTTCATAAAAAAGAATGCATTTTGTTTTAATAAATTTAATCACTATGACAGCTGCTCAATGTTTATTGGTTGTTTCTTCAGACTTCCCTCCGCTAGAAAATGGAGCGACACTTACAATCAATAGTAATTGATTAATCAGCAACCCCTTGAACAAAGGTGCTAATCAGGTTTTGATTAGTTAATCAAACCAGATGTAAAGGCTACACGGGTCTTTCTTGATTGTTCAGTGTTTTACAAGATGTGTATCAACACTGCTGAGACAAACAAGAAGACCATAATGCACCTGAGGGGCCCGAAAATACAGATGTACGGAATTAGATTAATTGGATTACTGCAATCATCACACACAGCAGCATATATATTTATGTGCGTGCGTACGTATATACACACACCAATACAAAGCAGTTTAGACTCGTCACTCACAGCACTGCAGGAATTGTCTCTGTAACACTACAGGGCTGAAAAAACGCTGCAGTAGAATCAGAAGTCAATCTGTGCTGCGGAAGTGTGAGACAAACGCCTCTGTCCCGTACATCCTACGTTAGGAGCACAGCTCTGAGAGGCACAGACACACACAAGTGAACGCGGCACTGGGAACTAGCTACCTGGATGCAAGGCAATAGATGCATTACTTATTTGTACAGTTGGCAGAGCCTCCGTTGAAGCATTTAGCAGGACGCCAGTACCTGAAACGAACAGCACACTGAGCAAACACTGCAGCGGGAGCAGCACATTCAGTTTATACCACATTTCAACAGCCCGGCGGGCTGAGCACACACCTCTGCGGGATGGGCTTCGGCTCAGCACTCACCTGTGCTGCCCTCTGAGCTGCAGCCACCAATCCAAAACGGGATCCTATGTCATTTTCTCGGGAATCTGGGCATGAGTTATGTGATGGAAGGCAGAGACTTGGTCAGAGCAGCGAGCAGGGCTGGGCTGCCGCTCTGTTTTCCAGTAATATTGGTATGTTTGACTTGGGAGAGCCATCCTTTGGTTATACACAAATAACTTAAGATTGCAACGAGCAAAAAAAAACACCCAAGTTCTTGGGGGAAAAAAACCATCAGCAGTCAAAATTGATGCTCCAAAATGGGTGCCTGTTAGTGCACAAAGGTGCTCGCTCACCTGCTTGCTGCTCGCACTGCATTGTGAGAAGCCCATGGGAAATACGGACTTAAATTTCAAATTGACAAAAAGAACAAAAATATGAAGCGTATCAGCAGTCAACACATCCACAGCTCTCTGAGAAAAGTGGATGTGTCACTGCAAAGTGAGTGCATGAGTGAATGAGGGCACAGGGAGGGTATGGCAGAGACAGGCAGCGCAGACCCAACTTGTGCTGCAGCCAAAGGGAGGCAGTGCTGCTAGCAGACACCCATTTTGAGGAATTCCTCTGTTGATTTAATTCCCATCCTTCTGTTTGTTCACCAAAATATGTTTTCTTTAAGGAAAAAAAAAAAAAAAGAAAAAAAAGAAAAAATAAAGAAAAAAAAAAAAGAGTATCAGAGCAAAACAGTTATTTTCCACCCACACAGTGATATTTAACAGACACCTAGTGCTTCTTACCTATGAGATCTGGCCCAGGCCTGCAATAATAATTATTAGTATTGCTCAGGTGTTAGAATACATATCGAGTTAATCAATCATTTCTAACCTCTTGGCCAAAGCATCCTTATAGTGGCTTACAGGAAGAGAAGCTGTTAGTTTCATTGAAGAACAGCATTTTATGGAAAAAGACTGAGGTCTCAGGGTTTTGGTACCCAGCGTTAGGTTTTTAAACTGCAGAACAACACAGTGGTGGACCAAAGCCAACCGGTGCACCTCATGGTAGAGACCTGCTGGGATGGGGACCAGGCACCGGTGCTTTCTGTGCTCCACCGCTTCCCAGAGGACAGCCTGCCAAACCATGGAGATTAGAGGTTCAGACTGTGCTAGGGTGCTCATTTTGCATATACCCGTTGCCCCAGGTCACCCACTGAGAATGCTTTTGCTTATTCGTTAAGAATTTGCAAGGATCAACCATAAAGATGCATCCATGCAGCTTTCAGTTGCCTGTGGGTTAAAAAAAAAAAAAGGTTTGAATTGTTGGCTTTGTCTTTGCTGATGAAACCAGGACCTCCTCTTGATTCCCAATCTGACACTCCCCTTCCAAGAAATGAGCGGGCAGCCTCCATTTAGTGCCGGCTGCACTTTGCAAAGACAGTTTCACACATTACAGCAGAGTTGAGTGTTTTCCAAACATTAAATTCCAACTCAACAGGCCTCCAAATTAGCATTCGAAAAGCTCCTGCATGCCACAGAGGGCAGCGGGCCTGGCAGCCAGCCCCAAAGGTGACCCCGTGTTCCTCCCATCCCCTTTTCACTCCTTTCACAAAATGGTGCCAATGCCAAAAAATAGGGAGGGAAAACCCAACAGACAGCAGCGTGCTTCTGATCTGTGGGACTCCGTGTGCCATTAATTGCTACACCACAGCGACTATACAATGCAAAATGGCCAAGACGCAGAAATCAACGTGGAACCGGTATCTAGTGTAGAACAGCAGTGCTTTACCTAGTGCTAGCCCTTACCTGAGAGATCCCCATAGTCCAGCTCCTCTGCGGAATTTGGCAACTGAGTAAAGCCTTACAAGCAAAAACAAACTCATTTTTCTTTGTATTCCTCAAGTGACAATAAACAACACACTTAAGAACCGAGGGTGAATTTCTTGGGGAGGGGAAACAAATGAGTCAATCACTTGCCATCTTCTGCTGGTCTGAGCAGAGTAAGTAACTTGTATTTCGGGATTCCAATCATTTACTTTATTACTGACAGACTGGCAGAAACATTCCTCAGTCTACACTGTTAACACATGGAACATGGAGGTGAACCAAAGTCACTCATTCATAACAGCATGCAGAAACCCCCAGACTCAGCCTTTGACTCATCAAATAGGGGCAAATTCCCAATTAATTCTGGTTTGATTTGGGTTACGTGAACGTTTTGATGTCAATTTTTCTTCCAATTTTCCACTGAAATTCAGTGGGTTTGGGCAACGTTGACAAGTACGGAAATTTATGAATTCAAGAATATTGTGGAGCACATTTCAAAACTGAAAGGCATCGTAGATGCAGACTGCAGGCTGTACCTTCTGTTAAAAATAATAAAAAAAAAAGGACAAAAATATTTTAGTCTCCCAGTTTTAATGCATTTCTGGGGGAAAAAAAAGCATCTATCCTCAAAGCTGATCAAGACAAACTCTTGTGACCACAAACTATCAGCACTGGAACAATTCCAGCATGAGCTGACCAAACCCGGATGCTTTTAGTGAGACTGAACGCAGCAGAAGGAGGGTGAGCTCTCAACAACCACTGGGTGCCTTGACATGTGCTCCGTACTCACCCATGTTCTGCAAAATGGGTCCAGTGAACGCTAATGGGTGCTGCTTTGAGTTCTGGTTTTACTTGTGGTATGGGATAACCTTGTTCAAGAGCAAGGCAAATGCCTCGTGGAGCTTTAATACGCTCCTGGAAAATGCTGGAGGAAGTTATTTGTGCTTCTAGGGGCTTTGGAGCCTGGAGGAGCAGCAATCCTCCATCCCCACCTCTTTCTTACACGTGGAGAAGGAGTGAGCAACAGTGGCTCAAGATGGATTTTTGCAGGGCAAAGGCTTCCTTGTAAAAAACAAAGGTGTTAATATTGTACACTCAATGTGAACACTTGTGCCCTGTTGGAAAGCTACAAGCAATACATATAGCTCATTAAAAGAGACATCCTTCTTTAGCAATAGAGTTTAAAGTATATCATCTTGAAGCTATAGCCTGAATGATCTTCTAAAGAGGGAAGCCGCTCAGATTAATGGCAAGAAATTCGGTTTTGCAACGCTGCTGAATTCCAGGGAGCCCCCTGCTTTTACTATAATCTATAAAAATAATCGGAGTGGAGCACAGAAGCACTGGACATGCAAACCTGTGCTCTGAGCAAGAGCCATGCAGCTCTTCTGCCTTCAGAACTGCTCCTGTGTATTCTTCCCTCTCGCTTACAGGGAACTACGTTTCCTCTGTAATAGAAAAACAAGGGCAACGTTCCATTTTTAATGAAGCAAAAGAAGACGTAAACATTTGGCAGTTCGGTTTCTACCTGCACCTGAAACTGCCACCAAACGGTATCAGAACGCTCCATAGGGGATTTCAGACCTGTGGTAAATCACTTCTTGATTTTCCTCCTTAAAACTTTCACATCCATGATTAAAGTCCTTTATTTCCTCTTCTGATCAGGACGCACTTGGCGTCCGCTGCTGCTTCTTTTAGACAGACTTTCCTGATGAAGAACACATCTGAAAAAGGTGCAACCTGAGAGCTGGGTTGTATCTCCTGCAGCCTGGTGCAAGTGTCAGGCCAATTAAATGGACATTTTTTGGCAGGCTTATTGAGAACGCAATGCTTTGTCCTTCTTCACGGGGTACCTCTGATTTTTAAGCAAAATCTAAGTTCTCCTTTGTATCAAACTGTAAATAACCAATTCCAGATTCTGTTTCATGTGGAGAATTTTACGAGACTGAAGAGGAATCTTAACATGCGCGTGGATCTTTGTGATGTTTTATTCAATTGCCCCAAGGATTAGGTCTGTATTTAGAAACCTATTTACTCTCAGTTGCACTTTTAAGTAGGGCATTTTTAAAAAGGAAGGCAAAAAAAGGGGGTTGGACAGCCAGAGCTGCTTGATAACGCTCACGCAGAAAGCACTGGGGCTTTATTTTTTCCTTGTATGCTGTTTAATCTGGCAAGATGTGCAAACTGAGGAGAGCTCTGGCATGGCTGAGCTTTTGGCTGCAGCTTCAGACAAGCCAAACTCATTTCAGAGACTGAGCATAACTGGAAAAAGCAACAAGAGCTTAACACAGCAGTGTTAAATATTCCCATTCAAAACCTTGCTGAGACCAAAAATTCATACGGGCCTTCAGGGAAGTATTTTCATCTCAGAAAATAATTTATCTGCTCTGTTTTGGACAATGTGTTTTCTTGCCACTCCTCACTCACATCCGGGATCTTCTCACAATGCTACCCTACACTCCAGACTTCGTGCTCTGCCTGCATCAGGAAAGACTTTTTTTCACCCTATCTTCTCATTAATTAGTTTCTGCAGACGTTCTGCCTGTGCTCTGGGTGCAGCACACACAGGTGCCCCAGTACCTGCCATGCACATAGGGAGCACAGCTCACTGCAATGGGCATTGGCTGCATTCTTCAAAAATCACAAAGAAGTTCGTTAAAGCTCTTTGCCTATAATAGCATGGGGTCAAAACTCGAGGGGAAAAAATGCAACATGTGTTACTTTTGCTGTAGCAAAAGAACACGGTGTACGAGGTCATGGCTGTTTATAGGCACTCTACTGGTACAGGAGGCAAAAAGAGAGCTGGGGAATCTCACACAAAACAGGGCAGCAACCTCAGAGGGCTGAGCTCCACAGCCTGCAAAGGAGGAATCACGTCTGGGAAGCAGCAAATCTGCATTAGGACCTTTGGAGGGGAGCGGGACAGGAGGGAAGAAAGGAAACGTTAAAAAAAAAAAAAAAAAAAAAAAAAAAAAGAACAAAAACCCAACAATAACTGATTTTCCAAATTCAGGGCTGGCAGACTTCCAGAGCTACTGCCACACCAATGCCTGCCCTCGATTTGCCTGCATGTAGGCTGGGAGCTGCGAATTCGTGGTGCGCCGGTGCGTCAGCCCACTGGCACCCTGACACGTGAAGTGCAAAAGAGAAGGGAAGGAGGGTTTACGCTCAGTAACCCCGTGTAGTGCAGTGCAGCAGAAGCACAAGCCTTCCTGCCGGCCATGACCATGCTGTTATTGGAGTTCTGGCAATGAACAGTGCAGAGAAAGGAGAAAGTGCATCAGAAAATTTACAGTTAAGCTCTCATTTTCAAACAGAAGAAGAGTTAACAATGTTCGTGCTTTTAAGTCACTCATGCATTGCTGCTGTTAACTCCATTCCATCAGAGAACAGGAATGGCAGGGGTTTTGCTACCGCTTTCACATGCATACACATACAGGACTCCTTTTCCCCCCAGTCCTCTAGGATACACTCCAAAAAATGAAACGACTCAAAATTCCTTTCCCAGATTGAAGTATTGTGCTGGTTCCATACTACCCTTACATTTCATTTTCTTTTCTATCAATCTTTCTGGGTTTGGTTGTTAGACTTTTTTTTGTTGTTGTTGTTGTTGATTTTTTCTTCCCCCAATTCATTTGAAATTGTTTTTGGAGAAAATCCATTTGGCTTTAGTTCATGCCCATGCATTTCTAGTCATTCACATACATGCTCACTCCGATTGGACATTGGTAAGAACAAATGGCCAACGTACATAAACACCTGGTATACCCATACACACTCCAGCAACACAAGCTTGGAAAGAAATCCCAGAGTCTTCGCAGGAAAAGAACCCAAGGAGGCAAAGGCAGTGAAGTTTAGTACAAAACAGGTTAGATTTTTAAGGCAGGAAAGTTTGCCAGAGCTAACTTGCTTCGGGTTGCTTGTCATTTCAGTTGTCAGTCTCATACAGAAGCAGTCCTTCCTCGTAGAGGTTATTTGAAGAAGGGCTCTGACCTTCTTCAAATAAAAAGCATTATTTATATGGCTATGACAAGTAAGAGATGAAAGCCACCAGGATTTGTGCTTAAGAACCAGGTGGGCACTCTGGTGGGGAGCACTTTGCTCTGGCAGCCCCTGCCCCACGCCAGGTCTGTGCTCAGTGCATGGTGATGGCCAAAAGCTGATGGCAAAACCCAATGCACAGCCCCAAGGGCAGAAGAGTCAATGAAGTAACACTCACCGAGTGCTTATGTACACCAGCCACCATTAATTCCTATCGTTGTGGAAAACAGTCCCACCTACACGAAAAGTGCTAAATGGTTAACCTGTGTTTTCCTGCGATTTTATTCATATTTTATCATCAATTACCAAGAGCTACCAAGTTCTTCTTTTAAGCTGTTACTTAATTAAACCATACTCATTGTCTTTTTCAATGCCTCCAAAAGCCTTGAAGGCTTTTCCCCTAGGGTAATGATGGGGTGATTAACGTTTTGCCTTCATCTGACCTTCATGGGCCTTAGGGTAGCACGTGATGAGATGTCACTTGGGACTCCTATTACCTTGCTATGACTTCCATGGCTGTAGCTACAAACTCGTGATGTCGAACCCCAACATTAAAAACAACTGGGAGATCAGCAAACGTACAGAAAACAGAAGTAAGCTTGAATGCTTTCGTTTTTTACATAAGGTGGAAAAATGCACCCATGTAGGCAAGCTATTTGGAACAAAAACTGCTTTTCCCTCAATTTGATGTGGGGCACCACTATGATTACTACTTAGACTCAGCTCTACTCAGTCCTCCATCCACACAATAGTGCCCAAGATCTGTCTTGTTGGGAGGAGGCAAGAAGATAAAGTTGTTCAGCACCACAGACTTTTGGCTTCCACCATTTCACGTGAGCAACAGAAACAGTCGATTTGCGAACGATAAGAAAACAGCAAACACAAATATGGTTCAGTCAATTAAAATCGTCAGAGGTTTTGATTCTTCAGCTGAAAAGCGAGCTTGTGCCAAAAAACTGTATGCTCAACTTTCAGTCTGAAGTGACTGTTTAGGCTTACTTTGAAAATGTAGGAAGCTAAGGAAGCTGTCAAGCTGTTAGCTAGACTTCCCTGAGCAGATGAGAAGGGTTAGTTTGCTAGACTGCTATGCTGATAAGAAAGTGTTGCTATTTGTTTGTAAAATTTCCTTCTGCAGTGTAATAACGAAAACTTCCCTCCTGATCTCTGAGGTGAGGGGCTCAGCTGCCGAGCACCCGCAGAACTTCAAGCATGGTGCTCAGCTTGGGTGCAGCTCCTGGAGGCCATTTCTTATGGACTTGAAATAGAAGAAAAATGCCGAAAATTTCACGCATGGCTTAAAAAAATAATTTCAGTTCCTATTTTCTCAAGCCAGGTTTCATTTTAGAGTCCAAAACGATGACCTCAGTAATCAAGAGTACTGAAAAAAGGTCACTTGCTCCCTCTGTGCCCCTCTTTCACGTGTGTCATTTCTACTGCGTTTGGGAATCAGTGCTGGCCTGGAACCGGGACAACTGGTTATGAAACTCACAACTGAAATGACAAGACTAGACAGACTTTCAAGCCTTAAAAACGATGAGATATTTATGAGATCAGTTCACTTGAAACGTGGTTTTCCCTTGAAGACTGCATTTTCTTTTTTTTTTTTCTTTTTCCTTCCCCTTCCCAGGCTTGTCTTGCCACTCAGCAGTGCTGAGAAATAAGATAAACAGGAATGTGATACCAACCGTGAACTGCTGGTTCTGTCGTCGCCGTTGTGTCTACACACGGGAACAGAGGATTGGAGGAAGGGAAGAAACAGGAGGAACAGCATGCAAAAAAAGGGAAAATGGAAAAAATGGAACAGATAATATATGAGCAAGCTTTCAAAGAACATTGCGTGACAAGCAATAATAAAATGAAAGGCAAAAAGCATTTGAAGTGAGTTGCACTGTTTAGAAGACATGCCTCGAGTTCAAAAGCTATGAGCCTGAGGAAAACAGTAAATTTGTCTTATTTTTTTTTTCCTGGACCTTGCCAGAACAATTACTGGTGGTTGCAAAGTCAGGGGAACATGAGATGGGGAGAACACCAACACCAACTCTTCTGTTGGTAAGTACCAAAACAGAAGCTCAGGAGCAGCACACAGAGTTAACACTTGGAATACAGATTATATGCATTCAAACGTTGCCTGCCCCAAAATCCCCCCTCCAGCCTCCAAGTCTGGGCACCCAGTGGGGGCAGAGAATGCTTCAGTTTCTTCTCCTCCTCCACCCAACGCAGGGCACTTCCAAGCATCCTAAAAACCCCTGAGTCCAGGCCATATTTACAGCTGGCAAACAAAAAGAATCTCATAGCACACTACACGTGTACATGGCCTCTTTGCATTGGATCAGAGGCAGCACCCTTTCAGTGCAAAGCATGCTGTCCCGGAATGCAGGTAGATAGCACCCATTCCTATACTGTGAAACACATTCTGGAGTTGACTTTAACTGGGTCACAACCTGCAATGATCATTTTTACTGTGGTTAAGAGATTCTTATGCTATAATACATTTAAGCTTTTTGGTGGTTGTTAGTCTGAAGCTTACTTTACTCCACTGACATTGCAAGTCATGGGAAATGTCTTGGAAGTGCTACCTTGCCAACTGGGTTTCATCTCTTCATAGGTGTTTGAAATGTACAATTTTAGAGACTGACCCAAATTCAGAAGATTTTCTAGAGAACTCCATCCTGACAGTGCCCTGTGTTATTTCAGATACCACTGTGTCTAAATCACATTTCAGTCACGTTATCTGGAGTCCTGGCTTATTTAGTTACCTTGTAACTCAGTTTTCATCTAGTCCTACACATTCTCCTCTTCTTTGATGGAACGTACACAGACAGACCTGTTGGCTGCTTGCTTTAAAGGGATGATTCTTCAGGACATAACCAGAACCTTGCAAATACCTACCAAGCCAACAGTAAAACCCAGATGTGGTCATCCACAGCAAAGATGGGGCTTCACAGGACTCCACTTGGTTTGATGCAGGCAACGTTTAAATGAACAAAATCATGTAGACAAGCACTCTACCACGTGTGTTTCTGTGAACTAGCCTGGAACTTCAGTTTTGTACCAACAACAGACAATTCACATCGGCATTTCCCCTAATTAACATGCTGTCTGGAGAACCCTGGGAAGGGCAGCCTTCCTGCACATTCAGAAGCAGCAGTGGAAAAATGAGGACTCGTTCCTTTTTTAACTTAGCTGAGGACAGCCCTAGTCTGGTTTTCTGAAGCACCAGTGAGGACAAGAGTCATACAAGGTATACACAATGCTCACAGATACAAGGTCTACATGCTTTAATTATCAGAGCAAAACAAATAAACCCTGCACAATTTAACAAACTACACCAAGATTTGCATAACAGATTATCAAGCTGTCATTAGCCTGTTTCCACTGCCAACATAGACTGTTCTCATCTTGGCAATCAAATCTAACACACACTTAAATATGCTAGCACTTGTTCTCCTGCTGGGAACTCTGGTGGAGGCTGCAAGGGAAGCCTTCCAAAGTACAGATGAGAACAAGAGTGGGATTCTTCCTTGTTTTCGAGTTGCAATCCCCAAATAATGCCTCATTTTAACCAAGCAAATGGTGAAGGGGAAAATGGTGGTGAAGGTGAAGGGGGAAGTTGCGTTTAGAAAGGATTATAAAACTGAGTATTAATTCCTGAGATAGCATCTTGGCATCTATAAATAGTCTCAATTTACTGTCTTCCTGAAACAAAAAGGTTACGTCAGTTTTTACACTTAATAGAAAATCTGCTGAAAGCAAACTTGTGTTCACGTGCTGGAAGAGATATTAGTCAAGAAGGAGTGCAAAGTGGACAGTGCATCTCGCTTCCCCATCTGGGGACAGAGACCAACAGGTTACAAAAAATAAAGTTCTCAAGCAGTTGTAAGTGCGAACAAATATCCAAGTCAAACAAGATGTTGGCTGCAGCTGGAATGACAAAGTTATGATTAGCAAATGGTTTGGATGATTGCAATAGGGAACACAGACCAGATAAAGTTTAGCATGAGTTGTCTGATGTCCATTTCAATCCCAGAGTCTTCTTTAAGAAGGACTGCACATACACAGTGCTCCAAAGGAATAATCTCACGTTAAAACAAAGCAAATACCCCCCAACACACACACGCTACTACAGGGGTTGCATTGCAAAGGAGAGAAAAATTGTCATTGTTGCTTTGGTATGAAATTAATGAATACACACAAATCTGTGCGTGCGCCAAGCTCCACCGCTGCTCTGCCTTATGTGAGAAGGAACGTTCCAGACCCTGCAGTGCTGCTGCTAAGACAGCCCTGAATTTTAAGACAGATAGGCTAACCTGAGACCAGCTTTTTCAAATTCAAGTTACGTGCCATTCACCGTTACTTCATTTTCAAGAATAGCCATCTTTATGTGCCAGACCAGACATACAGACCTCTGCAGATCAGACTTCTGCCCCACACCGTGGATAAAAAACCATCTCCCCTCTCCTCCTCTGACATGGAGTGACAACAACGTATGCGGTGCGATTCTGACTTTGCTGAGCTTTAGCAAAGCCAGCCCCAAACTGACAGGTGTGAACTGCACAAAGGTGATGCTTATCATTTCAAATGAGCTGGTGCTGCACGAGGGCTGCTTTACAAGACGTGGCAAAGCAAAGCAGAGAGGATGAAGAAAAGCAGAGAGACAAAGAGGCTCCATCCACTTAAGCACTTTTCACCTTAAGGTAAAGATGACACGGACAAGGCTTCTTTTCCTGATTTCTACCAGGAAGACTCAACAAAATTTGCTGTACGAAGAGTAAAAACAACAGAACAGTCCTTTAAATCTGCCAGTACAGAAATTCATTAGAGGACTGAATCATAATTACACAGGTAACCCAAGAAAGGAACTGTGGGCCTCCACAAAGCTCTGCGTTTCTCTTCTTAATGACCTCTTTTTAGTATTGGCACTAAGAACAGATTCCACCATGGCCAGACCCTGAGTGAATGAAGACAGTAACATACATTGTGCTGTGATACGGATGGAGTCATCTGCCAAATAAGAACACTCAAGCATGATCCAACTTTTAGGCACTCACCGCTTTGTTAAGGGCTGTGCAGCCGCACACACACACACATAGAGATGCACACATTCATAAAATTACTGCATGAAGGCATCTGGGCAACATTTAGTTGAGTTATGAGCTCCACTGTTATGCCTTCTCATTTTTTCAAATGGATTCTCTCCAACTTACAACTGTTCACTGAGTGTGACAGACTGGACCCTTTCAACCAGCCCATAATTAGTCCACAGCCTCCAACACAATGAGGGAAATTAAAATCCTCGCAGCAAAATTGAATTCACAAAACTTGAAGGCTTATTTGCTTTCTTCCGTGAGAACCGTAGTGCTACAGCCTAAAGCACGCTGCTATTGCAAAGAGCATCACAGCAGCACCGACCCAAAGTAATGGCAGAATGCACCTTTCATACAGAACTCTTATTAAAAATCTTCAAGAGGCATTAACAATTACAGGGACCCACTCAATGCAGTGCTTTTTAAATTGATTCCTTAACCAAATGCAGGCTGAGCACCCACTTGCAGAGCACTCATCCTTTCTGATTTTCTATGCTGTTCCACATTGAGTGACCAGGATTTTTTCACATTCCCGTTTTCACAGCAGTATCACAAGATTCCTGCTTCATTTCAAAGCTTTCAGGCAAGTGAAAACAAACAAACCTATGCAAACCTTCGGAATGATTGCCAACCCCTGTTAAATGCTAACAGCCATATTGTAGTTCAGTCACACTGTGGGACGGTGAGGGGCAAAAGAAGCCCCAGATCATCCCCCAGTGTGCAAACCCACAGCGAATCCTTCCCATCTCCAACACTCCTCTGAAGGATGGATGAAAACCTACTTTGTGGTACGATCCTATATGAAGAGCCTCTGTAAAGCAATTTCAGCTTGTGCTGAAAGCATTTGTGCACGGGCATGTTGCAATGCACCCCAGAGACAGTTTGATTTGCAGACCAGATGTTTCACAAAAATAATCACAATCTGTATGGAAGCTGTGTGTGACAAGAACAAAAATACTCCTAAATTAGTGCTGCAGCTCAGACTACGCCTTTGCACGTCTTCCGTCGAGATCTACAAGGGTTTGGTTCTTATTTCAATCCCTGAATGCAGCGTAAGGGAAAACCACACCTAGACACCATTTTGGGGGAAGGCCAACACCGGTTCTGTGGGAACTGCAAGTGCCTGTGTGCAGACTGCTGCAGCCACACAAAGGCTGTGCAAACACCTCCACCAAGAACCAAGACAAGCAACCATACCTGATGAGGTATCAAGCCTGAGAAGTGTGTGGGTACTTTAGGAATCCCCACGTTGCCTCTTCACCTTCCACCAACTCACTGCAAGGTAACTGGTGCAAAGAATGACTTCTTGCATTCTTCCCACCCGCCCTCTTTTCGGATTGCTGTTGGAATAAATCCTACCCAGCAGCTTTTCTTCCACGCAGCCAACAATAATCAGAAACAAACAAACAAACAAACAAACAACTTCTGCTGAGGATTAAATCGGCCTGTTCCACATTTTAGGGAGGCTTTGTGCATGTGACCGCATGGTGTGAAAACGCATCGCGTCGTTTCCCTCTCAATATTTTCAGATATCTACACATTATTATTTCTTAGGTCACTGAAATGGGACAAAACCACCTGTTCTGCAAGGATCATACAGAGCTGGCATCTCCAGAGCTCTTGCCCAGCAGGGACAAAGCAACCTCTGCCCCCATTCACAGCCACAGGGCAATGCATGGCCCCTCAGGGAGAAGGGAGAGCTCAGCCAGCCCCTTTACTGCACATCCTAAGGGATTTTGTTTTAACATAGTGTTTTAAACTGCACTATGGACATGTAATAATTGTGAAACCTGCCAGCTTGGCACTGCTGCAAGGTGAACAGCCGGGGTTTTGCAACATCAGCAGCACCCAGTGCAAGGCTTGAAACAGTGGTGACGTGCATATGTTGCACCTCCAGGTCTCTAGTGAAACATTTGCCAAGACACCTGCAAGATTTACATGCGAAGTGTGATAAATGCACATCTGTATGTACAGGTAATTCTGTAGATCCTGGGCTATGGAGGTGCATGTGCTAAGCAAGTCCAGAAGGCAGCAGAACAATGCTGGAAATAGCAAGCTGAAGCACTCCATTCTACGTTCTGCCCAAAGATGAGGGCTTTGCTATTATTAAGAACCTTTATCTCCCAGGAAACAACAGCTGTCCAATACCAGCATTTCAAGTAACGTCTGTAGGGCTAATTCAAATTATGCGGTTTGCTCTGCTGTATCATATTGTACATCTTAATGAACAAAGCCACAAGGACAATTTGGACTGATAAAAAAAAGGGCCTGCCAGCGATAACAGCTGAAACACCAAAGGATGGTCAGAATATCAATGCAGTTGGAGGATATACTAAAAAGATCAAACTGTCACACAAGAAATCTTTTCAAGCACCTACACTGAAGCAAAGCAACAGTGGCAGAGGAAAAGCTTTAAAGGTCGTGCTGTTTTGGAAACTTCACCACTGTTCTGCTTTCCTTTCTCCTGGAAAAAAGAAGTATGTTAGCTTTGCAAAGTTTAGCTGTGATCTTCCCCCAAAACCTCCACGCTGTAAAACCACTTTATCAGCTCAGCATGCCTTTGTAGGTCAAGTCTACAGCAGTGCTGAGATGGGATTTTGATTTGTCCAGCAGGAGCAGCTGCTAAATGGACCCTGTGCTCTACACAGGGACCTCAGGGGGCTGGGGAGGGATTCTGGGCACAGCAGGGAGCTCACTGAACCCAAGGGCTGGGGAATAACGACCACATTACACCACATACCTACATACTGCATTACCTGTCCTCTCCTATTTGCTGTATCTGCTGCTCCGGCTCGTATTTGCTGAGCAGTGTCTATCATCACTCAAAGATAAACTCTTTGAGGCAGAATTGCATTTCCCTGTCATGTCTGAACACAGCTCGACTAGAAATACTGTATGTAAGCAAGTACAAAAGATGCCTGTCGTTGGAAGCTGCTCAAAATGAGTAACTTACCATGCATGCGGAGTAGCAAACGCAGCCCTTTGAGATTGTTCTGTTAGATAGCTTCAGCAGGGAAAAATGAACCCAGAACAGGTTATCTCAATAACTCAAAAGGATAACTCCATGAAAACGTTCTATGGGCAGCTCGCCTACAAACACGAGCTTTGGATGCAGAAAGGCCTCTCTTCTTCCAGCCCCTGCCTCCCTCTTTTCTGTTTTGATTAGACCAAAAAACTCTTTGTACTCTGTGGTTTCAGGGGACACAGGCTAGGCCAGAAATATACCAGAAATAAGGGGAAAATGGTGAAAAGGAACAGATTGGAAATCCTCCTCCCCCTAAGGAAATGTTGCCAGCTTGGCTGGAAGACTGCTTGCACCTATTGCCTGCAGGTGGAAACCAGACACGTTCCTTCCTGCTAACAAAGCCATTATGCCACAGCAGACGAATCTTTCGACATTTTGGTGATGATGGGAATTAAGTTATCAATTGTCTCTTGAGGCTTTAAAAAGTGTTTCAACACTGCTATGCTATGTAATCCTAAAGGTTATGTTAATTTGACCTGATTTATTTTTTTTTCCCCAAAAAAATCATTGTTCAAATGCAGAAAGTTCATTTCCGTGGTTTCCTACTGCCTGGTTCTGGACTAACGAAGAGGCAGAAGTCTGGGATCACTTACTTTCCCGGGGTGCACACACAGACATGCCACCTGGTTAACACACATACAGAAAACATACATATGCACGTTTATGCACAAAGAAGTGAGGCCAAACCTTAGCTCTTCTTTGTGAAAAAAGCAACCCATGTGGGCAGAACACGTGAAGATCCACGTCAGGAAGGTTCTACATCAGAAACAATACAGAAATCTCTCTTATCAGTTTCATCAAGAAACGTGTAGATGTGGTACTAAGGGATACAGATAGTGGGAAATATTGGTGGTAGGTGGATGGTTGGGCTGGATGATCTCAGGGGTCCTTTCCAAGTTTGGGGATTCTATGATTCTTGTTAGGAAGAACTGTTGGTATCAGTGGACTATATTGCATTTTCATTACACTTCTAGCATCCTGAGCATAGAATCATAGAATCTTTTGAGTTGGAAGGGACTTAAGAGGTCATCTACTCCAACTCCCCTGCAATGGACAGGGACATGGACAGTAGCTCAAAACCAGTACAGAAAGGCATCAAAGAGGCAATGGAAACCTGTCTGGGTTTTGTAAGTAGGAGGACAGCAAACTGGTACATTCTCCAGCACTGAAAATAAGGATGTGAGCAAAGCATAGGGCAGTCGTGCTCCTGACACCACAGCACTTCCACAATTCTGCTTGCGAAGGAAACGAAGCACTGGCAGCCAATGAGCCCTAGCACACACTGCAGCACTGCTCCATTGAGTCACACTTCCTTACAGCACAACAACCTCAGAAGGGGTAGTGCTGAGTGGGTTTGGGGAAATTGTTCTGGTGGAAAGTTACCCAGGAGGAACAGTTGGGAAATGTCACATCCGAAGGCCCTCGCTTCCTGAAAGACCGTGGTTAACATGGAGCCAATTCTTTTTGGGAACCAGAACCCACGCTGCTTAGCTTGACAGGGTTAGAGAGGCTTCAGCCTCCATGGAGGCACATGTCCAGGTTGTCTGGTGGCTGGGAGATGTGAGCTGGTGACAACTCACCCCCCAGCACAGGGGAGCATCATGCTGGCAGCTCCTCAGGGCTGAGGGAATCCCGTGATCCTCACATGTCTGAAGAAGGACCGCGAGCTCAGTTTATGTTAGGAGGGCTAAGGTTTGAATGCTGGATGAGAAACATTAGATGGGGAAGCAGGCTAGAGAAGAAAGAGTGAGAATTATTCAAAGAGAAAAAGGAATTTCCTCCCATTTTAAGGCAGTGATTACAGCAGAAGAGCAAGCAACAACACTGCTGTTTATTATTAACAACCACTGCTACAGAGTTTGAAATTGCAGGTGAGGTTGGCATGCACTGTTACAGTCCTCAGGTGATCCCTGAAATGACAGGCTGACTGTAATTCAGTTCCAGGGAAAAGGACAATGGTTAATGTTAGCAGGCACTGACATAAACATAATGGGGTCAATCAAGCATCAGGACAGATTCTTCCTTTTAGCCTTCTATAATTCACAAATTACTGCAAAACAAAAGAAAACTGAACGCTTGTTGGTTTGCACTGAGACACACTGGACCAAGTTTTCTCTGCAAAGGGCTTTTAGGGAGACTTTGAAATAATAAAGTTTGAAGCCTATTCTGAAACGAAAATTGGTTAAGAGATTAAAAACAGAGAACTGAAATAAAGTGACTACATCATAAAGTGGGAAAGCGTCCTCAAGCATCCGAACCTTGGGTGCTGGAGTTTGGGATTATTAACAACCACCTGGAAAGAGGAAGACAGAAAATGGCAAAGTCCAGACAACACAATGACATATGAAAGACAGCGCACAGAAAGCGCGTATTAAGGCACATTGGAAGATTTGCTTGTCCATGCTAGTGGAGCCTGATTTGGTTGTAAAAACCTCAGGAAGGAAAAAAAGCCACAAGATGCCCTGAACAGCACTGTTAGAGTCAAAGTCATCAAAGCAGATAAATGCGAAGGTATTTACAAAGGGTTTACAGCAACAATAAACGTTATGCCATTCGCTACTCAACGGCCCATTCTCACCTTCTGCTTGTCACTTCTACCTCAAGAAACAAATAAATAAAAAAGCAAAAGCAAAAGCAGCAGTTGAAATAGAAAACATCAGGGAAAACAAAAATGGCGATGCGAATGAATGCAGCAAAATAAGAAAGGGCTTTGGTTATGGGTGGAGAGAATCGGGTCTAGTGAGGAAGAATGATGGATGTGTGTAAAATAGAGGGGTTTGGTGATCAGCTGGTTGGTTTTGTTCATCTTTTCTTACCAGACAGGCAAAAAACTCAACGTTCTTAAAGCCAGCTCCTCAAAAAGGCTCCGACAGAGACTTTTTGACTCAATAAAAAATGCCTGGTGGGATTCATTTTTTGTGGGAGAGCGAGGAACGCAGCTTAATACAGAAATAGACGAAACACCGATGCATGACAGAAAGCATCTCCAGTCACATTAGGTGAATTAAATCACTCAAGACCATACTTTACGCTTCCAAGTAATTAAGTGCTCAGAAATTGGTACTGATGGGGTCAAGGGTAAAACGATTCCAAGTACAAACCTAGTTCTAAGGCTGTTTACATCCTGCATTTGGAAGTACCCAGTATGAGCCACCAGTAACTGAATCAAAAGCTCTTTCTGCCATGGCGATTTCCATGCTTCAGAAACAACCTGCAGTCAAGATGCCCCAACTTCTTCAACTGCCAGATTAGGACTCACACAGTGGGTGCATTTGAGAAAAAAAAATAAAATAAAATGGAAATCAAGTGATTGGTTTGTTGTTTTTCCCCAGGCTTCAAGCTCTGCTTACATACATAAAAGACAATAAACATTCAGGACATTTCCAATGGTTATGAAGGTACCATACCTGTGATGGTGGTAGGGATGGTGGTGGTAGTGGTGGTGGTTGTTGTGGGAGGAGGGATAGTTGTGGGGGGATCTGGATAAAATATAAAAAGGAAAATAATAAAAAAGCAAATTAAGAAAAAACAAGCAGAACACAACAGCGATCAATAATGATCAGAGAAAAAAACAAGGACGCTAAGAAGCAGCATGGCTCTTGGGTGCCCTTCCTCCTCTAAAACCAGGTGGGGAACTTCCAGCTGGCTTTAAAGACTAAGGGCCAGATCCTCAGCAGCTGGACGTCACCTCCAGCTCGATCTCCATCGAGGGAGCTACGTGTGGACAGTCCAGATGGAGAACCTGGCCCAGAAACTCTCCCCCTTTTTGCCTCTTACAATGCTCAACAAAATAAAATAAAATAAAAAAAACAAACAAATAAAACCCAGCATAAATTAGTCAATGAGAGAGAGAGAAAAATGGAATGGGAAAGCTGTAAGAAAAATAAACTGCACACTTTCCACAACAAAAAAGAACAGTTTACATGTACAAAGAAAGACACAGTGGTGCTTTGTTGTTTGTCTACATATACATCTGAAATCCAGGTGGGAGGTTTGTGTGAGGGGCCCTGCTGTGCTTAACAGACTAAATATCAACAGCACACGAATATATCTCACTTTTTTTTCCACGGCTGTTAACTTCACTCTATTCTTCCTCTATGAATACACGTCAGCAGGATGTTAAAAACTACTTCAAAGATAGTAATAAATACAAAGAAATGAAAACATCATTACTGAATATCCATTTCACCAAGATCTTTTCATAAAAATGTCAGTATTTCTCTGACAGTTTTATTTTAACACTCTTGTTTTGGCTCGTAGCGCACTGTTAATGAGAAACACAGATACGGAGATGCTTCTCTTTGTAACTAATAACCACTTCTCACAGACACTTGACCTGCTCAGAATCAAATGCTGCCGCTCTTCCCATAGTTATATTACGTACGTGGGCACATCCTCATCAAAACTATTGGGCAGGAGGAGGAAGATATGAGAAGATGTGAAAGAAAAAAATATGTATCAATGCCCAGATGATCAAACTGAATGTGCTAAGTAGTTGGGAAGACTTTGAACTACGGATTCGTTCCGCAATAATAGAGCATGAAACATTTCATAGGCTTTTGATTTTAGGTTTTCTCTATAGCACGTCAGCTTTCCATCACTAACACATCTGCTACTCTTTTATCTCCAAGAAAGCTCTCAGATTCCCTAATTAATACATCTGAACTTTAATTATGTGCTGCACCTTTATTGTATTCTGCACAACTTCCTGAAAGTTAAGAGACATTACCTTGGAATTTGCTCCAGTGTGGAGACAGCTAAAGACATTGGCCATATATGCTGAGAACCATTTTGTCCTGCTCCTACGTTCCAAGCCACCCAGTCCCTATGCTTACGCTGGAGAACCTTCTCACTCTTCTGCCCAAGATGCTGTCACGTCTCCATAGGATTGAGGGAAGAATCACCCTGCCCTTCCAGCAAGCCAGCAGCGGTGGCTGAACCCAGCTCATCTCCCAAACTGCACTGGGGACGATGCTGTGTGGCAGGCTCTCCCTTAATAAATGTAAGAAATGATTGTGTGCTAATTGTGCCAGAAGCTTCTAGAAGATGCAGCTGCCCATAGGGAGGAAAAGCGTGAAAGGAATGTGTGTCAATGCAATTAGATATCCTTACACCATGTGTGCAACAGAGGAAGGTGTGCAAAGCACTGATCAGCAGCCGCTCTTTTGCAAGCCCAGGCTGCTGGCAATCATTTGCACTTAATACCATTGAAATGTAGGTGTGTTCGTTTGGTGTGGAGACTAAATCAGCCCTACCTGTCCTGGAGTGCATCCCCCACAAAGGGGATGGGAGCTGGGGGCTGAGTCCCAGGGGGCAAGCAGTGAGCACATCTTCCTGCTGGCTTTCACACTACTCCAGAGGCATACAGACTCCATAGCCTATATATTATTCACTGTCTTCCAGGGGGGAGAGATGCCAAATGCAGCAAAGTCTGGAGAAGTGCATGCTTTCCATTGACACGTGGAGGGAGACCAGCAGCTCCTCTCCAAGCTCACCACAGCAATACTGGATTCCTTTTGGTTTCCTTAAGGTTCTGTGCTAGAGGGCTTCATATGATGATCACAGCCCAATCACTTCTGTTACAACAGCAGCTCTGGATTTCTCCCATCTAAAGTCAGGGCTGAAGGAGTTCTTTATGTTATCCAGAGTGCTGAGTCATAGCGGGGCACAGCCAAACATGCAGCAACAGGATGTGGTGGGATGAGAAACTATTACTTGGCTGTGAGCTCCTGACAAACCATGAGAAGCCTTCCTACATGCTACAGCATCTGATGGATAGCTGAACTCTGCAGTCCACAAGTTAATGCCCCCTGGGAACGGCACCATCTTTACTGTTATTTGGAATTTAACTCTCAGAGAGGGGAAGCACTGCACACTGGAGTCTTTCAGAGCTACAGACACCAGAAAACTACCTGCATGCTGGAGTATAGGAGTTCAATTTCAGCACAGAGCTATTAGGTTTGATATAGGCTTCGATCTCTGGGCAGGTTTCTAAAACTGGACCTACAACTGGTCCCATGCCAGTGGTGATGCTGGGTTCCGCACTAATTACTGGCATCAGAGAGAATACAAGAGAATTTGGGCTGCAGAGCTTTCAGAAGCTGTTGCACAGCATGAACTTCAAACCAAAGCATGTTACTGTCCCATCCGAATATCAGGCAATACCCACCACAAGCTCAGCTCCACCATTCAGTAACCACTCTAACAGCTAAGGTTCACATATGCAGCCCAGGGGAATTCTTTGTAATTAAAGTAGGGGATCACTCTTCGAGTGCCTTCTGAATCTTCATTATATGCAACACCTCGTGACAGGAGTACAACAAGGTTTAGAGCAATGGCAAAATAATGTAGAGGAACTGAGGAATTAAAGTAGGTACTTAATAGCACTTTAAAGAGAGGCTGAGACATGTTTTAGTGTCTGCTCAGCAGCCACGGATAGGCTTAGGACATCTCATTCCTCCCATTTATTTACTGGTTTGCAATTACTGGGGGATGCTGGCTGACTCTTCAGTCATTTAGCTCGCTAATAAAAGACTGGGGGAAAAAACCAACCCTGAAGACACTGAAAAAAGATATTACAAAAAGGAAAAAGGAATCATCAGAGAAGTCCTGCCAGGCTAGAGAACTTCCCAGTTCTCCCCATGCCTCTGTTCCAGCTTTGTTTCAGGCCTCATCTGACAGCACGTGCCTCGGTGAGCCCCCAACAACAGCTCCAGGGAAAGGAAGCGAATGGCTCTGCACCTGATGCACAACACCGAGAGTCACAGAAGCAAAAGAAATGCTTTTCCAGCCCCTAGCCCACCCCGGTATCTGGTAGGTGTGTTGGGAGCTATCTGTCATCCTTCCAGGAAGCAAAAAAAAAAGTTAACTTCTTTCAAAGCTTTCCGAGAGCAGCATGTTGCAATTACGTGTAAATGAGTCTAGAAGAACGGTGGTTGTTCTCACGTACCGTATACAAACAGCATGTAATCCGCATGTGATTTCCCCACCGCGTTTGAAGCCTCACAGCGGTATGTACCATTATCTGTTTTGTTTAGGTTACTAATGAGAAGGTTTGAACCAGACACTACAACGTGTTGAGGCATCTCATCATCTACTCTTAACCACCTCATGTCCGTAGGCCTACAGAGGAGGGAGAAAAAGAAATAAGCACATTACTATTTTCCTATGGTAAAGATGGCATCTTCAATAGTTCATCCACAGACAGAAAGCCCAAAACCAAGAAAAACTGTAAAGAAATAACACATGCTTTTTTGCACTACTCAAGCCCAGATGCTGTCGGGCTTCCTCAATTTAAATTTATATTAACCCCACAGGAAACTGTATCCAGACCTTAAATTTTCTGAAGACACTAATGCAAGCAGGAAGAAAGTTCATTAGTGGTTAATCATTCGCTTAATCAGTACATCTGAAATCTTTGAGGCCTATGGACTACGTGTGCATCCATAGGGTGCTGAGTGCAGATCTGGACATGTGACAGAACAAGTACATTTGCATCAAGTTTGAACCATTTCACAAAGAGACGTGGTAGACTTATTTACTTCAATTTTGGCTCTGCTGCTCAGTGATAGCATTTTAGCTGCTAGCAAACAGGAGCACCTTTCTTCTCTCCCCAGTTCTGCTTCTCCCATTGGCAGCCTGCTTCCTGCATCCTTTTACTTAATGGAACCAAAACGAGCATCACGTTTGGATAATTTGGGGAATGAAATTAGCATGTTTTGTCAGAGCTGGTAACGCCAGTAAGGAAAACAAATGCTGCAGGGCTTGGGGAGTTGTTATTATTATTATTATTACTATGAAAATCTTTGAACAGCAGTAAGGACAGATCAGCTACTCCTCTGAGACAGCCCATACCAGCAAGAAAAACATAGAGAAGCTTTCAGAATGACTAAACACTGAGCTCTGAATAAGGGGAGGTTTAAACAATAACACATTCTTCAGACTGCCTATTTCCAAAAGCAAAGTCTGCAGGTTGTATTTTGCTGGGAGCTAGTGCTGTTGAAGGTACCAAAAGAGCTCAGGCTTATGGCAGACTGCTGTAGTGAAGTCAAAGCTCTTCAACTCTCAGCATCCCAGCCACTCGAATGGAATGGCTGCAAAATTCAATAAAACCCTTCGGTTCTCAGCTGCCTCACAGAAAACTGACATCTGATTTCAGACAAAGGCTTGGCGCGCTCTTCCTTGCTTTGCTCCATCCCTGGAGGCACTCAAGGCCAGAGTAGATGGGGCTCTGGGCAGCCTGATTCAGTGGGTAGCAAGCCCGCCCATGGCTGGGGCTTGGAACAAAAATGATAAAGTCCCCCTCCAGCCTAAGCCCTTCTATGGTCCTACAATTGCCACCCGTGGCAGGATGGGCACTCACTGCAGAGCACACCACTAATACACCCATAACCGTGCAACAGCAGCTCTCATGAGAGCTGTAGCTGCAGTTCTACCTCAGTGTTAGGGGAAAGGTTTCTGATGCTCCTAGCTACCATTTTCCAAGAGCTATCAGCAATTTTGGAGCCCCAAGGCCTCACACGCTGTATGTGCTACACAGCAGCCTGTTTCTCTAAGAACTGAATATCCTAAAAGTGACAGTTTCACCATCTTCCTACTTTCCTCATTGAGTTTTCTTGTGTTTTTCCTTCTGACTGTCTTATCTTGGGCAATAACAAAAGAGAAATTTCTACATTCTGGCTTTGTTTTTCCCTGAGCTTCCCCGCTAGCCTAATGTTCATGATGCAAAATATTGCAGAGAAATGCTTTTGTCTAACTGAAGAAACATCTCTGTTCATCCCAAACTGCTGCAAAGAGCTAAACACAGTATTTTTTTACTGTATATTTTCTTATGCTTCGAGAGACACGGGTGAAATGACTACATAAGTAAATTCCTAGCACATTACTAGCATCACCATAACATTAAGTGGCATAGCGCCTGGGAGAGGTGGCTGTCTTAGTTAATGTGTGTATGCCTTATTCATAGCCTGAAAAACAAAAAAAAAGTAAGGAAGCCTATTCATCAAATTCCCAGATGATAGCAAATGGGAGGAACTGCTGTTACCCATGAGAGGAGAAATGCAAAGGGGCTTTGACAGATTCTGAACGGGGAGTAGGGGGATGTGCCAGCCTCTAAAGTACAGGGAAGGAGGAATAAACAAAATCACCTAGGTGAGGTAGGAGACTACTGTGGAGGATGACAGTATCACAAGCCTTTTTGCTTCTGAGCTGCATAGACCCTTCCTGTCCCTGCCCACAGAAGCAGAACTGTCAAACTGGATGACTTCAAGTTAGACTACACCTGCAGTACTCTTCAGTTCTGGGCACGCTACCAAGGAGACGCTGACAGATTTCAGGGATGTTTGCAGAAATCTCATGGACATGATGAAAATAAAAAAGGATAGTAAATACTTGACAGCCATAAATCCAAGTGGAAGAGGAAGTATTAAAAACAACAACCAAAAAAAGTCAACGAAATTGAAATTAGAACAACAATGGAAGTGTGGAAAAAAATGCACCCTCCCTCGTCAGGAATTTCCTGATGCATAAATCTCTTAAACAATATAAGAAAGCCTCAAGGGCATGGCAGAAGGAGAAAGGATAAAACTTGCATTTCATAGAAACAACACAGGTCACCAAAAATCGAGAATTATCATACAGTCAATACAAACAGAAAGACAGATTGCCTTACCTTACAGATCCATTCCACTTTTACAAGTGCTCAATTCTTTGGGCCATTCATACTTCTGCATACTTGCACCTTATTAGGATTCAACACACAGGCCACTGACCTTGCTTTTGCAGATTAATTGCAACCAATTGCCACCTACGCCATTCCCTGGGGAAGAGATGTATGGCTGCACAGTACCTGTGCTACTGCCTGTCCTTTCTGCACCAGAGGGCTTGCTCCTCTCCTGGGAGCTCTCACAGCAAGAGTTCCTCAGTCTCTTTTTTATATATATATATACATAGGAATAAATGCAAATCAAAATAGATGCCTTCATTTGAATTAATTTAGATCTGTGGGAGAAGTTGTCCAGAGAGGCGGTGGTGCCCCGTCCCTGCAGACAGCCAAGGTCAGGCTGGATGGGGCTGTGAGCACTGCTGAGCTGTGGGTGTCCCTGTGCGCTGCAGGGAGCGGCACCAGGCGGCCTTCAGCTCCCTTCCAACCCAAACTGTTCTGGGAATCTACGACTGGGCAGCACGAATGCTGGTGCAGAAAGGATCTCTCCACTCTTTCATTCTATCGCATCGTCTTCGCAGCAGAGAATGGCGTATTCAATTTCTGCAATAGCAAAGGAGGCCGAAAAAGCCCAGCATGTTTCTGGGGCACAGCTCCATCACTGCCTGGTGCATCCTTGGGCAGTTCCCAACTTACTGTGGTTTTCCAAAAGCTGCGCACGTCAGTTCGAGCGGCTCCCCTTCTCTCGTGAGGCCTTGCACTGGGTAATTCTGAGAAACCCGCACTTGAGGCTTATCTGCGTGACAAAAACATCATTTCATAAATTTCCTCGTCAGACAGAATCCCATTTCTACGCACCCAACACCAAAAGACAGTCATCACCACCGCTCCTTTTGGCCCCCTCTATGCCACTCGTCTAATCAGAACGTGAACTTGCTATTTGCTTCAAGACGGAGTGATGAGCAATGGGAAATGTGAGCAGATAGGAGATCTGCACTGACTTGAGCACCACCGTTCCCCAGGAAAGGCATTTTGCTGCACCAGAGTTTATCTCTGAACTCACTCAAGCTAAAAGGAACTCATTTGCCTTCATGCTAAGGTGAAACCAGTGATATCTGCAGTGCTGGGAATTGATATGTTTTATCGTGTATCATATATTACTGTATGACAACACCTTGTGTCCACGCATATTAATACGTCGGGGCTTTACAAGAGATGCTTGTTAGAAACACAAAAAGGCATCACAGCCACCGCTGCTTTTGTTTGAACAACCCAAGATTTTCGTTAGTCGAAATGAAGCTCTTCTAAATCCTAAAATAAACACAGAGAATTAAAGCATTCATAGTGAGGCAGCCAGCTCAAACACGCTGTAGCAAAACCCTGCAGGAAAAATAAAACCCACAAAAACAACCACAACACACCGGAGCCCGTGATTAAAAAATTCATTGCCTCCTATAACTGAAAAGCAGATTAAGAATGCAATCTGAGCTGTAGCTAAACTGCTATCAATGTTATCAGTGCTACAGATGCCATTAGGCCATGTGTATCTTTCAGGAATTTACTCAACTGTAAGAAATGAAGGAAGGCAAAAAATAAATCAGTATGCATAAAGGTTGAAACAATTCAAACATTTCTCTTTGAGAGTTCACTGCTACCAAAACTATCAGCTTGCTGTATTTTATTAATTGTGTTTAACTCATTAACGTGCTTCCTATGGAATAATAGAGATTAGGAAAAAAAAATGCAAGTCAGGATTTGACCAATTTAAACTCTCCTAATTTTCAGTAATGGAATAAGCTACACCAGTAAATCCTCTCCTGAGACGATGCACCACAAACATTTTACAAACGAATCCCATTACAGACGCTTCCTGTGGCCATGAAACCAAGCAGTGTCTGCACACGGGTTACGGTGTCATGGATGTGTGTGAGCTGCAGAGTTCCAGCTCCAGTGGAAACACGAGGCTGAAGGATGCCTTAAACACAAGCTGACCCCCAGTGGGTGATGCTAAGGTAACTAAGGGCTAATGCCAGAACAAGCCTGGTTGGATGACATGCTCTTAGAGGTCTTTCCCAGCCATTATGATTCTATGAAAGAGGAGAAAAGCTTCTGAGCCCTGTTTACAGGGGAAAATGGAGACCATCTTGCATGGCCTCTTCTGCTGCTCCAATGAGACAAATTTCCCTATTTCTAATGAGATGCTTAACAGCTGTCAATTACTTATGGCAATCAACAGGAATACACTGAAGGCTCGTTGTACTGAGAATGAACTGCAAACTAAGTAGGCTTTCCCAAAACTACAAGAGCCGAGCCCTTCCATTCCAGCTTCTCGCCCCACAGCCTCCATTACTCAAATGAAAGAAGCGAAGTGAATCTACACCACTTGGATTTGCACACTGTAGGGATGGGGAGGAGAGTTTGAGGCTGGAGCTGAGGAAGAAGGTCTGGCAGTGAGGGCGGTGAGGCGCTGGCACAGGTTGCCCAGAGAGGCGGTGGTGCCCCGTCCCTGCAGACAGCCAAGGTCAGGCTGGACGGGGCTGTGAGCACTGCTGAGCTGTGGGTGTCCCTGTGCGCTGCAGGGAGCGGCACCAGGCGGCCTTCAGCTCCCTTCCACCCAAACCATGCTGTGATTCTATGTCACACACACAGTATAAATCTGGACTTCATTAACACACAGTTGCACTTGAGAAGACAACAACGTTCCCAATAGAGTTATCACAGTGATTGTCTCTTCTAAGCAGGACTCATCAACAAGCAAGTAATCACAGAAGGCACTTATGGAAATGGGAAGTGCTTCAAAATGCTGAAAGATGGCTGGTCACTCCAGAGAACTGACATTTCAATTAGGCACGTAGTACACAGGGAAAATTCTACCTGCTTTGACCAAGAATTTGGGGCAGACTGTCTTTTTTCTTTTTTTTTTAAGGACATAAATAATCTTTAATTTTGCTGCTCAGTTGAAGTCGGTACTTTTCGTCTTCAGATTGTGGATTCTTAAGTAAAGCTGTCTAAAATGCCAGATCCTGAGCTCAGATCCTACCTGGAATTGTGGCATTTAGCAACCAACACCAGCATGATGTTTTTCAAGGTCTGTACCAATGGTTTGCCACCTATTAACCACTTCATTAAAAAGGCCACATTCCAGTAGTGACATCTGTGGTAGTACAATGTGGGGCAATGACCATCTCAGATAGAAGTCCAGGGCATAAGCAACAGCAGAAGAACTTTTACTACCAAGTGCATTCCAATGCCTGATATCCTCAACTTGGAACTTCATAACATCACGTTGCCTGATTACTGCACAAAAATAAATGCTTGCATCTATGCTTCTGAGCCACAATACACTCCACTGGCAGCCAATTAGATGAAACAACCTCAAGCTATTTCCTAGTATGCCTATTTCTAGTGGCTTAAAAAAAAAAAGAAACCCTAGTAATTTAATAAGGCACCTTTATTAAGCTAAATTCATTCAAAACCTACGAGTGATATACAAGGTTAAATACCAGTAGTCTAAAGGTTACACTGTAGCAGCAACCAATTTGAAAAACTTATTACAAAACCATTCTGCATTTGATGAGATTTCTTTTACAACACACGCATTGTGTGCCTCAAAGACAACTGAAAAGCAGCCTTCAGAGAGGCGACAGCAAGCCCTGCTCCTTTCCTGGCCTGTCAATTATGGCATGCATGAGGCCAAACCTCTCAGCCTCCCACACTCCTGAAAGCAACCAGGAAAGGAAAAATAGTACAATCATAGAATCATTAAGGATGGAAAAGACCTCTAAGATCATCAAGTCTACCCATCCACCAATACTGCCCATTAAATCACGTCCCTATGTGCTTCATCTGCCCTTTCCTTGAACACCTCCAGAGATGCTGATTCCACCACCTCCCTGCGCAGCCTGTGCCAATGCTCAACTGCTGTTTGAGAGAAGAAATTCTTCCTAATATGCAACCTGTATTCAGCACACTTCCACCATAGCTCTTGTGCTATCAGTCCCTGATGGTGGAGTTGGACTAAGGCTCTTCCTGCATGTATCGCCCATGCCTGTCAAGTTCCTCCACAATTGATCCAATCTTCCAGCAGGATTTCTATGAAGTCTACACACCAGGATGTGTGCAAGACTCCAGGATTGGACACACTAGCACTAAAACCATCACCTCAGCTCCAGCTCCTTGCCTCACGCACACAGGGAAGCACTGGTTTCTCTACAGAAAGCTTCTGCTGCAGCATTCCAACCGTTCCATTTGCCAAGATGCAGCTCCACTTCTGTGAAGAAGGGATACGGGATGCACCCACTTTCCAGAGTTTTAAAACGCTGTGGTTCAGAAATTACCCAGACCCTCAAGTCATTCTGCATACGCCTTGACTCTTCTTCTTATTAACTGTTAGGCAGTTTTGTGCCATCAGCAAAGATTATTAACAGCGATTTTTTTGATTATTATTTTTTTTTAAAGAACTTCTAAATGAGTCATGGGAGCACTGAAGAGCATCAGGCTAAGCACCCAGGCCAGTGCATTTACTCTAAAAATACCATCACTTGCTGATTACTCCCTAATGACTATTCTTTGAGATCTGCCAGTTAGTGATTTCTTAATCCACTTAAATGTGCGCTCCATCGATTATGCTTAGATCTCATTAATCAGTCAGGATATCATGTTATACAGAGTTCAGTGTCTTACAAAAACCTAAGTCCATTATTTCTACCCATTTACTTTCATCAGGCAGACCTATGATCTCAAAGACGGAAACGAGCTCGTCGTTTCAGGAAGTGACACCGGACTGATTGGGACAGCCTGATCCCAGCCCAGCCCAACGCTAGCTCTGCTGTGTGGCTCTGGGACATCAGGGCTGGCCACAGCCTTTGTGCCATCCCCTCAGGGCTCCTCCGGTCAACAGGTACGTCCATTTCAAGAAACATGGAGATAGAGCTCTGAGGGACATGGCTAGTGGGCAAGATTGGTAGTAGGTGGAAGGTTAGCTGATCTTAGAGATCTTTTCCAACCTCAATGACTCTTTGATTCTATTAGTGCCTTCAGCATAACGTTACCAACTGGAGGAAGGCAGCCAAGTTTTGCTGAGAACATTTATCTCGTTTGTAAGAGGACTAAACCCAACGGCAGCATGACAGGAGGCAGCACACCCCTCTGCAGGCAGTAAATGCTGCATGGTAACAGCATGGGTTTCTCCAACTGCCAAGCCCGTGGTTGAATTCCCACACACTGCAGCCCACAAGGATGCTAATGCATATTAGATGTGACTCCTACATGGAAATATGACCTGAAATAAAAGGATGGTTTACTTGGGAAATGCAAGGAGGCAGGTGAATGATGGTTATGCTCTTGCCCTCATGTCTCCCCCATGAAACACATTCAGAATACTCTTAACGAGGAAAACGTGTGCAGTAAATTTAAGTGTGTGGCTGCACCCAGTAATTCCACTGCTACGAGCTGCAAAACATAAACGACATCACACTTGAGGTGGATGTTCTCTGGGGCCGTGCCAGTCATCTCCGAGTTGAATCATCACACTCCAGCAGCTCCTGGTCCTCCAGCAATCTCAGAGTGATACGGCTCCTACGACGCAGCAATCTGTCCACTCTAAGCACAAAAAACTGCACTGAAACAGTCATTAATACCACAGTTAAAACATTCTGGAAAACATTTCTTCAGCAGGAGAGACGTTTCTCTGAACTCAGCCGACTCCCAATGCTCACCAACCACCAAGAGTGACAAAGCAGCCAACCCTCCCTGGCCCAAACCATCACCAAATTGCAGCTGAACACGTACATCATT